CTTTAGCCCCGCTAAAAAGCTGAGCCACAGCATAAAAGGTATCTTACCCGCAGTTACTTGCACGGAAAAACTCCAGGGCAGTGGGTCCCGAAAGACCGGTACTTGCCAAGCCTCTGCTTAACACCGGGGACCACAGTATATGGCCAACCAGAGTCGTCGACCCAATCCCTCATTGATAGAACGTGGAGATTTATTAGCCAGGACAGACGGCCTTGCATAGCACATGCAGCACTGTAACAGGTAGGCTATGTCAACTAAGGTAGGTACAGTATGAAACTAAGTGAGCTTATTTTGCGAACGTACCAGGACCAAGGTTGTCGTCCTACATAAGTAGGTTAACTCCATCAACTCATCGCCTTTTTATACCCGCAATTCTCGATCTTGCTAGAGAGACTTTCGTATGTAGGCTGCCGTCAGTTTGGGCATATGATATAGTTCCTTCTCAATCCAGTAAAATTTGCTCCATTGAGAGGGATCGAGGATGGCTTGTTTCCCGACATGGATTGGGTCTTGGGCATACCAGAGAGCAAGAAGCCACCCGCGCTTGGTTGCGGTTTTAACCTCTTCCCACCTTTCTGAAGTCCATTCGGCACGTGGATGGTAATGCTTCTCGTCATGCATGCGCGGCTGGACTAGTCTTCCATCAGACGTGCCACATGCACCCTCCGATTTATGGATTTCCACCTGACCTAGAGCCCGTCCCTCCGAGATTTCACGCCAAGCCAATGGAATCCTCCTATCACCATCGCTGATAAGGACGATGATCTCTTTTAGCCGCCTGAGCGCCTTGAAAGAAACAGCCATCCGCATCAAGGTTGCGTCGAAGCCGGAGAAGACCTGATTCGCCGTGACTGTGAGTTCTTCACCGCAATAGAGAACTGAGCGGTCCGGGATGAAGAACATCGCCATGCTGCTCTGAGGCGTCGTTAGCCACAAACCGTACCGAAGCACAGCCTGCCTCGCACGTCTGCAGACGCTGGCCATGGCAGAAACACTATGGCGGCCAGGGCGCTCCTCATCGGAATTGATGATTTCCGAAGGAAGGGCGAATTCCCACTATAAAATTATGAGTTAATAATAGCCGTCTTGTGCGAGATCCCCGAGTAATCTGCGAGCGTTCGACGATTTCAAGCTGTTGCCCATAGCCCGAGCAAGAGCCTTAACCTTTTATAGAGGTCTTCAGTGCTAGAAGAAAGAAGTCTGATATTACTTACGATACAGTCCTGTAACTCGGGCGGCAGTTTATTAAACAGGTGGAACATCTTGATTCCCTCTGGGCTGTACGATTGTTTGTTTGGGTGTTGCAAAGCTAAGCCTTGGCTCGGAATTAGTGGGAGGGCGTAAATGAGTCTAAGTTACTATTCGTATATCTTATTAGATATTCTGTTCGACAATATTTCCGTACGGTATAAAAGAAGGAATCATTAAATTATGTGTGAGAGTGGCACTAAACCGACTATGATATATAAATTGTAAACCCGAATGTGTAAAGGCGGATTTGCGAGGGGGGGGGGGGCCGAGATTGAATATTGTTTAACGAGGATTTACTTTAGTCGATAGCGTCTGAGGATTATCCACAGAGGGAGATTCCACATATAGATACCGGGTGCTGATGCATGAACCTAGGTTATTAGGTCCAGTTTGTGAAACAGATCTCGGGTTCTCCTTGTAGGATAAGGGGGTGGAGGAGTGAAAAGTTGGTCAAGTGAAGGACAGGGTGAAATGGGAGAGAGAGGGGAGGGGTCGGATAGAACGGCCAGGCCAAACCTACGTGTATCTATACGCAGCCTGTGAAAGGTGCGAAAGACTTAGCAAACAAACATAGAAGTCTAGACGGGACCGCGTTACTTTTCGGTGCCTGGATGCAGCACCAAATCAGGTCAAAACGAGCACCGGGGAAGGGAAAGTGGCTGCAGCCAAAAAGTTAGTATAATGGCTATACACGCGTAAAAATACCTCAAAAGAACCTGAACTCCGCAAAGGTACAAATATCTAGCATGTTGTCCCACCTATGTATGTCCTACATACAACTGGGGTAGATCGATGAAAGTCTATATTTCCTATTCCTAACCTCATACACACTTAGCTTGGCCCGGAACCACCCTCGTTATGACCTTTCCCACTACCACCACTAGGCCCTCCTCCTCCTGCATTATTGCCGTCCAGCAACAGCGTCGGTTTAATGTAGTCCTCGTCAAGCTGTCGGAATAAAGCTTGAGGGTCTTGTGTAGTGAACAATTGCTTGATCGCTGACCTAGTAGACAGAGGGGCGGGGGGGCGCTGTCCTGATGTCGGGTATGAAAATACACCCTCTTCTTCGGACGTGCCAGTCGGGGTCAATTGCGGGCTCGACTTCCTTCTTGATGATTTTCGTGCTGGAGGAGGAAGGTCAGAGGTATCTATATCACTGCCGATGTCCGAGTCCGTTAAGCTGGCTGATTGCCCAAGAAGATCTGATCTCTCCAGGTCATCGCCTAGTGTTGGACGCGAATTCTTTCGGCTTAAGCTAGTGGCACGGGAGTGAGGCATTGGTGAACGGTGGCCCGACACGTAACTACCCCGTTCGGGTCCCGTGTTGCGTCCACCATTGGTAGAATCAATTCTCTCCATTCGTACTGATCCGTTCCTCTGCCGCGGGTTAAATCCGAGGCCAGTGCCAGATCTTTTATAGTAAGACCCTCCGGGGGTTGCTTCGATATCGAATTCATCATCGCTGTCCGCCTCCTCAACAACACCAGTCCTAATGCCTAAAATCTCTAGCATTCGAGCTGTAGTTCCGCCAAAGATGATCACCGTGAGTACTACGACGACTAAGACTGTAGCTTTCAAGGCGTATGAATTGTCACCAGACAGCAGTGCTGCCAAGGCCACACCTACAGCACCACGGAGACCGGCCCAGAAAAGCATGGCTTGGTAGCTGTATGGTAGCTCATCGCCGACCTCTCTTCCCTGGCGACGGGCCCGGTAGTGATGGTACCAATTGATGGCCTTGGACAAGGGGAAGACTGCAACCCATCGTGCTGCACAAACCGAGACAACAGTGACAATAATAAGTAGCGGCTGAAACTGCAGCTCGTTGTCCGTAAAGAGCGACAGGCCCAGGTAAATAAAGATAAAGTTCTCTGACAATTGCGCCATGATCTGGAAGAAATATTTTGTACTGAGCTGCGTTCGCCGAGACATGTTGAAATAGGCGTAATGTTTCAAAGTAATACCGCAAAACAGCAAAGAAACAATGCCTAGTAAAATTTTAGTAATTTTTCTTCCCATATACCGAGTGCGAGGTTGAATTACCTGACATCCTCACGGCTTGGGAAAAGAAGTAACTCGCATAGGTGATCAACACAATCAGGCAGGTCTCGATATGCGGATACCGTCTTACGTAAGTGAATTTGAGAACGAGGGCCGTGCCTACACCTACCACAACGCCAATGCCCAGGCTGCCAAAGAAGCTAAGTAGAAAAGTGCCTATCCCCTTGATAAAGCTCAAGAAGCCATAAGCATCAGCATCCTCGCCCCTGTATTGCTGTGCCGTCTCGAAGATAACGATCGCGATGGCATCGTTGAGAATGGATTCGCCGAAAATGATTGTATACAGCTTCGGGTCGACCTTGTACGTATTGAAGATGGCTAGAATGGTTACGGGGTCAGTGGCGGACAACGTCGCACCAACCGAAATAGCGTCGTTGAAGGACATGTCGAATCCTTGAGGTATCCGTGTGTACAGCCATAGTAGAAGCCCGATGACGACGGCAGATAGAAAGGTACCGGCAAAGGCAAAGACTAATATAGTACCGATGTTTCGAAAGAAGTTGGCTTGGTGTAGCTCGTATCCCGAGTTGAGGATAATGGGCGGAAGAAGGAGATTGAAGAAGATTTGGTAGTCGAAACTGATGAGGGTCGGGATGCCAGACTCGGAGCTGACTCGGAGGATCAGGCCGACGGTCATTCCTAGCACACGCAGTCAGACTCTGTTGTCGTCTTTGCTTCAAGAGGGCAGCAACCCACCAGCGAAGATGGAGATGACGGTTTCATGGACAGCCTGGACCTTCTTCTGCTGCAGCGTGTAGCTGGTGAAGAAGGCAATGATCAAGAGCACGATGGAAATAAAGAGGGCCCATGACGAAGTTATCTCCTTCTCGCCCGAGTCCTTCTCTGTGGCTATCGTTAGATGGGGTTGGAACGGACAAGGGGAGGCGAAAGAGGGCGGTTCGTACCACCGGGGTCCTGCTCTTCTTCGGCGCGCCCTGGAACACGCGGGAGTCAGTTAGTGTCGGCGCACATTTCGGGGTTGGAGACAAGTCGCATCGTTAGAGACGTACGGGCAAGCTCCAGGCCGAGGCTGGCGAGTTGCGACAACATATTTGCGACGCCGGTGAGGATGCGACTACGTCGGAGCAAGAGGCCAGCGCAAGAAGTTCGTCTTCTGCTCTGACAGGAGCGCTATGACAGTGGCTCGCCACGACATCAAAAACTGGCGGGAGAGGGGATCATCCGAGTCAGAAGGCGTCGCTGACGAGAACCAGGATGATTAGGGTCGAAACGGTTCAAGAGTCGGTTCAACTACTGTGGTCCCCGGTGTTAAGCAGAGGCTTGGCAAGTACCGGTCTTTCGGGACCCACTGCCCTGGAGTTTTTCCGTGCAAGTAACTGCGGGTAAGATACCTTTTGTGCTGTGGCTCAGCTTTTTAGCGGGGCCAAAGATACCGAGTGGGGTCACGTTTTACTCCAGCCAAACCAGTAGACTGTCTCTCAGACCTAGATGTAGTACATACGGGGAACAGCAATCGACAGCTTTCATCTTTGCAATTTTTGGCAGTTGATCAGTCACTACTAGGCAATGCTGTGCTGATAGGTAACTGAGCAGGCTGCAGGACCGCCAAGCAAAGCCCAAACTACGTGCTACTATACCACATGCACCTATTACAGCACCTCCAGGCTACAGGCATGTACATAGTGGGTCCATAGGTATATGTATAGGTGTAGATACATTTACTGTGTGGGGAATTGGTGTAGTGGTAGCACATCGCCAAGCCGTTAGGTGCCGCCGAGGGTAATGCGAAGGGCACCAGTTCGATTCTGGGATTCCTCAAACTCAAGTTTTCTTTTTAAAGCTGGGTTGTCCTTAAGGATGCAGCACCTTCTGGGCTGCATTGTACGGCGTACGGCTTTGTTATTATTGACTAGAACATGATTTGGGCCCAGCATTGGTTTTATGTTTTGTTTTCTTTGTCTATGCCGCTGTGTAGCGCCGGCATTTTGTTACGAATGTTATTGGTAGGTAGGTAAGGTAGGTTCATCTGACACATTCGGAAACGGAGTGACGTCGTCACGTCATCAGCTAGCCTACCTAGCCTAGACACACACTAACGATTGTTAAGACAGCACCTCACTCAGCTCGGCGGTGGCCATGCTACATTTAACCGACCGTCTTCATTTACCTCGGTTTTCCTCGATTTACCTCGATTTCCAATCGCACAAGTATCGCTCTGTTCCTTCTTTGCTTAGTATCTTTGTTGCCACATCATACAGCGACACAACCTCCTTGGTGAATGCTGGTGTGACATCTATTGATGCCCATACCTCGCGAAGCCCTCTCACTATTCCGGTGTGTCTGATCTCAATGTGAACAATCCTTCCGTCGTGACTCCACGTACTATTTCGAAGCATCTCCGAAAACGGAGGGCGATTCCCGAAATTCTTTAGCTGCCCGTCTCATACTCTCCCATGAGCTCGTCATCTTCGAGTTCCCTGAACAGCGTGTCTTCGCTCAGTCGCAAGACGGACCGATCGACTCGTGGAAACCCCGATGACGAATCTATCCTACAAAGAACAGTACAGGAGCACCGTGATTCGGATGTGGGCAGAGATGGAGGAAACGAGCAATCTCCTCTCTTGTCCCCTCACAGAGAGGAACAGGCGCCTTTCATAGGGCCTGCTGCCGAGAGCCAAGATGACGGCCGACTCCACGAGACCAAGAGTGTCTGGTATCTCATCGCACTGACGATATGTCTGGGAGGGCTTCAAGTTGCCTGGGCGGTTGAGTTGTCCAATGGCACACCTTATCTCTTGTCGCTCGGCTTGACCAAATCACTTATGGCGCTTGTCTGGATTGCTGGCCCTATTACAGGCACACTGGTTCAGCCCTACGTCGGCATGTTAAGTGACAATTGTCGCGTGCCCTGGGGAAGACGCAAGCCATTTGTCCTAGGCGGCGCTGCTGCTACCTCGCTTGCATATATGTTCCTCGCCTGGATTAAAGAGATTGTTGGAGGCTTTCTTGGCTTGTTCGGTGCTGATCCCCAATCAGAAGGCGTGAAGACAACTATTATCGTTGTCGCCGTGATTTGGATATATGTGCTTGATGTCGCGGTAAACACAGGTTTGTTACCGAACGCTTTCTCCCCATCCTCATGTATATACCATGTATGTCTGACACAGAGCCAGTCCAAGCCTCAATTCGAGCTTTCATTGTAGACTGTGCGCCGTCTCACCAACAAGGTCAGTATTCGAGCCATGGAACAAATCGCACAAACTAATATCAAAGCAGAAGCGGCAAACTCGATGGCTAGCAGAGTAGTTGGACTCGGTAACATCATTGGCTACATCGCTGGCGGCATAAACTTGCCGAAATATGTCTGGTTCTTCGGATCTACCCAATTCAAGGACCTCTGCGCTATCGCCAGCATAGCCCTATGCTCCACCGTGTTGTTCAGTACGACGGTGATTCGGGAGCGAAATCCGCAGCTGGATGGACGCCCGGCAGAGGAACGACCTGGATTAATCTCTTTCTTTGTGAAGATCTTTGCCGCGATTAAGAGGTTGCCACCGCAGGTTTCTAAAGTATGCGTCGTGCAGTTCTTCGCATGGGTTGGCTTCTTCCCAACGCTCTTCTATACGTCATCATATATTGGCGACATCTATGTCCAACCCTTTCTCGAAGAGAATCCCCATATGACTCCGGAAGAACTGGATGAGCTGTACGAAAGAGCAACGCGTATGGGCACACATGCTCTCTTAATATTTGCCATTACTAGCCTCGTCACTAACGTAGTGCTTCCATTCTTCATCGATCCGACGTATGACAACCACCCTGCTGCCGGGAAGCCTCCGAGCCAAGACCATGGAATAGACGAAGATGATATTTCAAGCATTAGGAAATTCCTCAGACGTTTAGTTATCCCTGGGTTCACACTTCGACGTGCATGGATGCTCTCGCATATTCTTTTCGCAGTATCAATGATCTCAACGCTTTTTGCCCGAACGATCGAAGCCGCCACAGCATTGATCGGTCTCGTTGGTATTACTTGGGCCCTGACACTCTGGGCACCGTGGGCAATAATCAGTGCTGAAATTAGTCGACGCGACGTTATTTATAGGGCAAAGAAACAACAATTAAGGCATATTGCACAAGTTAACGAAAGAGACCAACAGACTACCTCGGATCCCTTAATTATTAGTGAGGAGCAATCACAAGATCATGACCGGGAGCCCGACCAGGCAGGCGTCATCCTTGGGATTCACAACATGGCTATTGCATCACCGCAGATGATTGCGACTTTAGGCTCAAGTGTCATCTTCCGGTTCTTCCAAAAGCCCAGAGGTGTCCCTGGGGATTACAGCTATTCCATCGTTCTAGCTAGCGGGGGCTTGTTCGTACTGTTTGCAGCATACCTCGTCCACAAGATCGAAGACGACATGTCTCTTCCCCCGGAGGCCGCCGCTATATACGCAGCAGAAGAAGGTGAGGCCAGCACAGGTGTGCATTCACCTACTAGGAAACGCAGCGTTGATCCGCCACGTGCTAGTCAAGAACAAGCAACGATAGCTAGAAACAGTAGCTTTGGTGCAGGGTTAGAATACTGAAATTCTTGCAATATACAGTTCAAAGAGTTACAAGGAGCAATCCTGTCTCGATTTAAGCAATACATCGAAATTCACTATATCGCATTCAACATAAAATAGCCGGTCGTCTTAACGTTATCATGTGACGTTCGATTACAACCATAATATCTTTGAATGGTCTAGAACCTTAAACATCACGGAACGATATCCTAAATGTAGCGGCGACTAGCACGGCGAGTTTAGGATAGCTAAACCCCTTTTATGGAGGATTGTAAATCGTTTTCGTTACCTCAGCAATGACCGAATTGACCACTATTTAATGCTATTTAAAGCTCAAGATAACACACTGTATTCTACCACCACGTATGATCTAGTTATGATACGTGCAACATAATTACAGCAGCCCCCATGTGCTCTTCTAGGCTAAATTCAAGAGCCGTCGTAGTCGAAGGGCAATTTGAATGGTTGCGCACTCGGAGGGCCCCGTCCGCAATGTGTTGGTCTCCCGACACGCGAAAAAAAGAACAAATGTCGTCTTTTCTAGCGGTAACGGTCCGCCCGACCTGCCTGATATTAGCTCTGGGCCTTGTCCGGGTCAACTGCGCAATCAACGGTAAGTGGGCATAATAAAGCCTGCAGCTCTCCGGCTTGTTGATAGGGTGACGAAGCGCCCATATCTCTCGTTGTGTGCGAAGCGTCTCGTCTGAGGGCGATTATAAAACAAGATGCAGCCCTGAGTTTCTTGTCTTGGGTACTTTCCGGGTCGCCCACCTGTCCGTCCTTGTCCTCGACCGTTTCTACCGTATCTCCCCACGCGTTGCCCCTGTCTCCTGTGTAGTTCGCACGACACAATGAAGGCACCACTCCTCTCCGCGGCGTTGGCGCACCTCGCCAAGGCGGCTGTTATCTGGGACGGGAGATTCAACGACTTCACCTCGTCTACGGACTTGAACAAGTGGTCCTGGTCGAACCAAGTCGGGCCCTACCAGTACTACATCCACGGCTCAGCTACGGTCGAGAAATACGTCAACCTCTCCCCGGACTACAAGAACCCTGCGGATACCGTGTCCAGGCAAGGCGCCAAGTTCACGCTCGATAGCACAGCCTTCTGGAATGGACAGAACATGAGACGGACCGAGTACGGCGAGACCCCTACCCTACCCTTCTTCTATAGTCCGCTGAATTAAATCTGCTAACTCCTGATTCTTCCCTCATCGAAACAGATTGATCCCGCAGACCAAGGCGGCTATCAACAGCGGCAAGGTGTACTACCACTTCTCGATGATGCGCAAGGACACCAACGCGCCGAGCGTGAACCGCGAGCACCAGATCAACTTCTTCGAGTCTCACTTCGTCGAGATGAAATCGGGCTGGATCTCGGGCGAGCAGGGCACCTCGAACCCGAACCTGCAGTTCATGGTTTCCCAGAACTCGAAGTGGAAGACGGAGTGGAAGGCGAACGTATGGCACAACGTCGCCTACGAGATCGTGAGTCCCTTTTCTCTTTATCGTTCTCCAGTCGCCTATCCCTCTGGCCGACAGTCCCGTGCCACCCTTGAGATAGGTCTTATAGACTTCCACCCATTCCTGCCTCATTTTCAAGAACGAGTGAGGACCAAAGCCGCTGACACGCACGTTATTAGGACTTTAGTAAGAATACTGTCGGCTTCTGGCATTCGGAGGGCGGCGATGCTCTCAAGCAGGTGGTAGCGCCGGTTTCGGCGTCAACCTCATCAAATGGCGCCGACTGGCACCTGGGCGTCCTCGAACTGCCGCGATCAGGGTACTCAGATACCACCGAAGACTTTTATTTCTCCGGCGTCTACGTCGAATCTGGTTCTATCACCACGACTATCGGTGGTCCCGGTAAGTCAATACATCGCCCGTCATTTGAACTGCTTGCTGCCTGTTCAACTTGATATACCATGATAAGGTACTAATTAAACTGATGTCGTAAGCTTAGCTGCATAAAACCTCTTATCTAGACCTCGGGAGTCTCAGCGGCCAACAACTACAGTGTGCAAAATCCCTGGCGACTAGGAGATTAGGCCTGTTATCTATCAGTTTTGTATCGCGCGTCTATGTGTATAATTCAAAGCTCGATCTCTCGATGTCAACACAGTATAGGGGCAATTCCAAGTTCTTGATTGACGCTGTCTACCCGTCCAGCACAACCCCAGCCTAGGTTAAATTAATTGATTGACATGGTGAAAAACAAAAGTAGTCTCATCCATCCCTAGCATTTCC